TTTTTTGGTTTAACGACGGCTTTTAGAAGGTTAAGCAATATAATCAATGATGTTTTCATGGCCTAAAATGACCGCAATCCAATTTTTGTAACAATCGGATAGCGTGAACACAAGTTAACTAGTGAAATTTCGTAGGTGGGGGAATAGAAGAAAGAGCCCGTTAAGATATTTTCTATAATATAAAAATTATATGCTCCTCACCATGTGGGAATATCGAATTTGAAAACAAAACAAAGTTTACTTAATGAATTGTAGTGAATAATCCTGCTACAAGCAACAGGACGGTTATTGTTCAAAAAGATCAGAAACACAAAATTCAATTCAGGACGTTTAATAATTCATAATCGGTAAATTTTTACAATCTGGCATAATTTCAAAATCACCATTTTGTGGGCGCTTGAACATTTTGGTATTTCTACATATTTGGTTAACTCTAATTTGAACAAATTGATGTTTTATAAATATTAAGGCCGAAGCTTTTTGGATAAACAAATACTTCAACAAAATCAGCTAGTAAAATTATTTGAACAAAAGCTGAAACTAGGCATACATTAGTTCAAGCTTTTGATTCTAAAAATATATGGTTTTCTTAGCTTCAACTAAAACTTTTGCTAAAAATTGACCAAAAAATTGATTGGTAAAATTGATGTATTAAATTGAAATGCAAAACTATGCTAATTATTGAAAATTATAAAACTTAACTGCAAGTTAGCAAGCGCTAACGAGCGAGAACGGGTGCAGGTTTTACGGTCTTTCGGTTGCTCTTACCAGTTGCGGAACTGACTACAGCGTATCGTAACCTTTTTTTACCTTTTTAGGACATGACGTCAGGTCACTTCTGTCTTTGTCTCTGTCCAACCCTTGATTGCTCTCGCCAGCCCATTTTGCCTGAACAAATTTGAGTTTGAAGCCAATTAATTAGGTTATTTCCCATCATACCCCTCAAAAGTACAAAACTGAGAATTTAGTTTGGAGAGCGGTCTAATTTTGTTCGGTAGGTTGGAGCTTCAATGGGTACACTTACTGCTACTCTTTCATGTAAATGTTTTTTTATATTATCTGCAGTTTCTTCATAAAATTCTTGGAGATTTCTGTAATGTTTCTACTTAAGATTTTGGAATAATAATAAAAAACCAATAAAATTGTTATCAAAGAATGAATCCTAAAACCTTCTAACATTTTTTGCACTTCCTTGCGTCACACATGTAATACAGAAGATTTTTTTCCGCCTCTTCAACTTCATAATACGCAATTTCTACTTTTTTTTCGTCTCTTCTCACTGTATGACCATAGCCACTTTCTTTTTATGTATGGCGCTTTGATATAGTTCTGCTAGAGCCGATGAGTCAGTTGGAAGAGGGGGTATCAAAAAACGACCAGCAGCAGGATTTCACCAAGTATCCACAATTTGATCTGCATTTTTCGACGGAGGAAAAAAAATCACTGTGGGTACAAAACAGAGCTTGCTTGGATTTAATTTTTTTCGTTACTTATTTTTCGAAAACTGTTGAATCGCAGTTTTTATATCTTCTTGCGCATAACTTTCCCGCAATTTTTGAACACCAATTTTTTTATCTTTAGCCTTATGCAAATTTTTTAACAAAAATTGACTCTTCCGTGACTCCGTCTAAATGGTTTTAAAAGTTTTGACCGCTAAATGGTTTGAATCAAAGTTTGGCAATCCTTCGCCAATTTCGCTAAGAGATAAAAGTTCTAGCGCTTTGGATGGGGTTCTTGTGAGCTCTTTCCTGTTCTATCTCAAAGCAAATAATGAAGATATGGTTACAACGCGGGGCGGCTACAAAGTGTGGAAACTATAACTCCAATAAATTTTGGCTGTTCGAATTTTTCATCCTTTCGAAACCTTCACATATTCAAAAAAGTGAATCTTCAAAACCTTGTTCGGTTCTTTTCCAGTTTTCCTCCTTTCAAAATACCGAATTTTATGTTTGTTTTACGTGTTTTATTGGCTAAATGCGTGATGTTACGCTGTAATGTATGAAGAACAAATCTGTTCACAGTTGTCGATTTATTCACCACGCCAAATTTGCTTGCACTATGAAAACGTTAAAAAAGCTTTTCAAAATTGAATTTAAAAGGAAGTAACTGGAAAGGAGCCCCTTGTCCTAATGCTGTGATCTTGATGCATTCAGATCATTAGCTTTTTTATATTTGAAAAACACTTTCGGAAATTTTTTTTCTGATTTTTTTAACAGCCTTGAATCCTGACAGCATGAAGAAGTTAACAGGTTTCAGTAGATTTGAACGTTTCTTCCAAGCTATTTTCCGTTTGGGCTCTGTTTCCTTTTGCCCCACCTGCGAAATTTCATAATAAATTTTTCTGTTCAGGTTGACCAACAATTACAAAAAGGGGCATGCAGACTTATTAAGCCACAAAATCATGCTTGGTCTTCATACTTAGCCTTGTAAAACTCTTTGCGACACCCTAAAATTGATCCTTATGTGAGCTGGGGGCAAAAAGAAAAAGAGCCGCTCTATGAATAATTTGGAAACAACAAACTAGAATTGAATTTTTTGTGAGGCAGGACTTAAAAACTGGAAAAAATCATAAATCAACTACAAAAATAGATATTTGTTTTCATTTTTTTTAGATGGGGATTGGAAAACTGCCAATAGATGTATTGTTTATTGGATGTTTATATCAAACTTTCTTCGAATATTTTCACAAGACCTTTAGATGTATTGTTTATTGGATGTTTTTATCAAACTTTCTTCGAATATTTTCACAAGACCTTTAGATGTATTGTTTATTGGATGTTTTTATCAAACTTTCTTCGAATATTTTCACAAGACCTTTAGAAAGACCTCCACAAGCATCAGTTTCATAGTGTAATTTGTGGTTTTGCAGTATAAAAATTATGGAGACTAAAAAAGTTTGCCATGGCCTAAGAAGTCCGCCTGCCAACTTTTGTAACGATCGGACCACGTGAACATCGGAACAATTTGTAACGATCGGACCAATTGCAGGTGGAGGAAAAGGAAAAGTGCGAAAACATTTTAGCAGTGTCATAATTTCCTAAATTTTTCCTTTGCGACCAACAGCTACTCTAAACATAACCTTTTTTCATGATAATTTGTGGCTCTTTTCCATTTTTCCTCCTGCATTCCAAATTTTCACTTTTTTCTGTTTTTCTAGTAATAAAATGTCTCTATGTGTGTCTTAACTATGTAAAGCATGATGAATAAATGAAAATACATTAAATAGGTTGTTCGCCATGCAAACGTTCATTTTACTAAATGCAAAAAAAATGAAAATCAGAGTGTTTGAAAAGGAAAAAAGCCCCAAATTGCATCATCTGAAACTCCCATTTTAGGCCTCTGAAATTGAACGTTTACGAAGAAGGTTAGGTTAAAAAAATCCTTATAATAAACTTAATGGAAATCATGGAATAAGCCTGCATGCCAAACCGTAAAAAAATGGGCAGTGTTAACTTAAATGTTTTTTGGTAAACACAATCACAGTTTTTTTCTCTGCTCCAGGTTCTTCTATTTTTTTAGCATCCTTTTAAGGGTTTTTTGAGGGTTTACTTAATTATACGTATGCACATGAATATATGGAGTGTTTGTGAAGAACTTAAAAACCACCTGACACTTTTTACAACAATTGTGCCTTGCAAACCTGTTTTCTAAAAAAAGAAGGCTTCAGCTACTGTGTGACCGAGAAAAAGCTTAAAATTTATATGGATTAAACTGTAAAAAATGAAACCTTACTCTGCAATTACAAAAAAAGTGACAGACAAAAGCTCAAGTTTTAAATCGCTTGGAAGAAAAATGGCACTAGTTCGTACAAACTGATAAGAAAATGAAAAGAAAAACAAATCAAAAAAGTTTAGTTCGATCAAAAAGTTTTAACAAATAAAATCAAAAATTTTTAATTGGTGAAGTTATTTTGAAATTTTTCTTTCGTCGACACATCCAAGGAATCAAAACAAATGTTTTTTTTGGAAAAAAGGTCTCAGAGAAAAACAAAATTTTCCGGAAAAGCTTGCAATTTTTGTTTTTGAATATTGCTGGTATTCTGATGGAATTTCTAGATTATTGTGATCAAACCAAAGGTCATAAGTTTATAACAAAACCATTATAAATTATGCATTTTTTTAATTCTTAGCTAAAGTCAGTGGGACAGGTGTCATCCGGAAACTATAAATTACTGCACGCATCTTTTGTACAGTTATTGATAACGAATTGCTCTGTATATTGATCTGATGGACTTGCGAATATTGTAGGAGATGATAGCAAGTAATGCGAACTGATATAGGGTGGCAGAGGTGAAAACATCTGAAAAAAAGTAATGATTTTAAATCAAGAAACATTTTTGACTTTGCAGAAAGCGATGGACAAGTTCGTTAAAATTATACAGACGACTGCTCATCAGTCAATTGGTTGTTCTCTTCTCAGGCTTTTCTATGGGAACTTCAGTACTTTATGTATACTTATGTACTAAAAGTTGGGAAAATTCTTATTTTTTTACATGATTGAAGCATTTACAAACCAAGTGCAACTGGAATGCAAAATTTGAATATTTCTTATTCTCAAAAAAAGCAAATCCTGCGACAAAGTGCAATATTTTGAAAAACTTGCATTCTTTTAACCTCGTAGAAAATCTATTGCCAAAAAGTTTTTTTTAGTTTCAGTTGGCCAATAATTTTTTTGACTCTTTGCACAATAATTTTTTAAGATTTAATTCAAATCTATCTATTTTGAAAGAAATGTATGTTCCTAATCTTAGTTATTCTGGATTTTGAAGCAGTTGAGGCAATTTTGTTTTTTTTTCGATTTAGGGGAAAACTTTAAGCTCTTTGTGTCGGATCATAGATACTGGCTCCCTGATCAACCCCTGCTGCTCCCCTGATCAACCCCTGATCAATGAGTCGGATGGACCGCGTCTTTCTTGGCGAAAACTTATCCATCGCTTTCTCGATATCTGGTTAAAGAATTCCTCCAAGCAGTCATAGAAGTATCGATTGTTGAATTACTAGCCCTGTTCGTGACGTTTGGAGCAGAGAACTTCGTGACAGGACCAACGATCCTGCTAACCGAAGGAGTGCAGAACTTGCGACTAGATGGACTTCTGACGTTTATCGCGATAACACATGAAAGCTTGGGATGATTGATGAATTTGACCCGCTATCTAGAGCACATGAGGGAGAATGTAAGGAAGTTCGACGTGAAGCGATCCACGGATTCCTGGAACAAGATAAGAGATTTGCGACACACTCTTATCCAGTAGCTCCTGCAGCAGAATCACTTTGATACAGGAGAGGATGAAATGATTCAGAGGGAGGAAGAATGGGAGGTCATGCTGGGGGCGTGCGTCTTCTAAATGACCTGATCTTATCTATGAGGATCGATCCCTTATCATTGATCAGGGGAGCCACGGAGTTCGTGACAGTGATATACGGTCCAGTAGTCACGTTTGCGTTCCCTGACGTTAAGGTGGAGGCTTACAGGAGGACGGTGTTGCATCTGAACCTCATATCAGCAGTGGACGGAAGTACACTTAACTGGTGCGAGCAACGCACAACACGAGATTTGATGAGTGATGAATTGTTATTCGCGAAGATATCAGAGTCGGAGATGACCATCATAAACCTCGATGATCAGTTCCGTGACAGGATGGGAGAAGTGGAGAGAGGGCATTTTGAGGTGTTCACGAAGTTCTGGAATCTGAGACCCACGACAAAACAAACGGCGAAGTCACAAGAATTCCTCGACTGACCGCGGCGTACCACAAGTTGAGAGAAGAAACGAAGAGCTGGTGTGACTACAAGAAACTGCAAGAAGAGATCCAGGAATTCCCTTTGATAAGAAGAATGTTGCTCGGAGCAGACTCCGTGGTACAAACCCCTAGGATGGGAGCCTTTGAGACTAACGAAAGGAGAATGGCGAACTTCTCTGAAATGATTATTCCGTGTTTCATTGGCAGAAACGTCGCAGTGCTGCAGTATACGCAGTTTGCTTACGCTGATAAAGCAATGAGACGAATGAGCAATACAGCGACTCCGAAGCCTGGGAGGTTTGACAAGGAATGGACGAAGCTGGATCCGGCGCCTATGATTATGAGAGGCAAGTCTGACTTACCAGAAGCCTCCCTAATCTTAACGAGTGTAAAACCAGGGTTGAAGGTGGGAAGAACCCTACAGACTGGAAACATGCTAGCACCCTTTGGCTGTGAAGAAGTTAAGGTAGTTCATGGAGAGGAGGAAGATCAGTCAGCTGGCAGACCAGTGGTACCGAAATTTCCTGTTGAGGCAAAGGATGAGAAACAGGGGCCCTCCAGTTCAGGAAAGAGTCCAAGACGAGACGATGGGTAGGGAGAAAGCCGTCGATCGAAAGAACCTATGCAACAGGATACCTATCAAGCCGAGAAAGAGGACGATAAGGCTTCGACAGGAGGGATGTCCAGCCTGGGTTTAAACTTCCTCAGCGACTTTCAAAACGGCACGAACACGTTGAAAGCGACGACTGAGCCGGCAGACGAGGGTACTTCCAAGCTGGAACCCCCATCGGCCTTCATGGGAACGAACCGAAACTTGCCGCAGACCAGCTCTCCGAGCAATTCTAAAAACACCGAACAGAAACTATTGATGGAATCACCAAGGAGAAGAAGAATAGAGGGCACTGCCAGAGTACCTTTCTTGGGAACATTGCCCGAAGAAGAGTGGGAGGTGCATCATAGAGGCCATGAAAATAGGAGGGGCTGCAGAATGGACGGAGTGGCCTTCATGGAAAAGGTCTGGACAGTATTTCAGAGCTACGGAACCCAATCTATTTTGAAACTAGGTCTCAACCGACCACCAATGCGGGAAGCCTTGACAAACTCGACGAGTGTGAAGGGAGATTGAGCGAGTTGTTGATCGACTCGGCCACTGACGAAAGTGAGGCAAACTCTCCTATCAAAATGACGCCGCAAGAAGACAACGGAAAAGGGGTATATCTGTCAAGAACCCGAAAGGGAACGATACGATCAAAAAGTGTGATTGACAGAATCAACGAAAAGAAAATGAATTTGGGCAGCAAAGTGACGTTGAGGAAAGCTGAAAAAACAAAGGTCGATTCCGAAATTTTGATGAACGCTGTCAACTCAGCCAAAAGAAAACGCGTATAAGGAGCCATGGACTTGGGACAGGGTGATGATCGATTGCCTGGCACAGACAGGATGTTGACTAATGTAGCGATTGTGCCACCCATTCTCATGACAGGAATTAAATCAGCCAGTTACAAAACCAAGAAGAGTGACCGCACTCTGACTGGAGCGACGTTGGAAATGGAGATACTTAGCCAATGCGGGAGTGTACCCTTAAAGATTTCAAACCGTCTCCCATGAATCACGGAAAGGGAGGCGTCGTACGACAGCTAGTCCCAGTGGAATATAACCGACTGACAATATCTGAAACTGTCTCGATTGATGAACCCGCCGGTGGATAAATGGAGATGTTGGAATACAGGAACTCGGCCAGAGGACACTTAATTGCACTGGACGACAAAAGTGCTATCAGGAGACAATGATGCAAGGCACCACCCTAAAACAGAAGGCATACGGAAATCTCATATTGTCTGAAATGCACGCGGAGACGCTAGAGCAATTTGTGAGCCTTCCATGGATAGCAGTAGTGTTACAAAACTTCGAAGATGAAATGAGAATAACACCGAAGATACACGCTCTGATAGCAATACCGTATGTAAGAACAGAGTTACAACTCATTTCGCTTGGTGCATGATTGGACTGACACGCGGGAAGTATGTCTCGGGAGAAAGAAAAAGATCGAAGGGATCGAAATGTTCTTAATGACGAGTGTGAGAGATCTGATAACCCAAGAAGGAGCAGCAGTAGCGTGCGCGATGCGGAGAAACGCTATCTGTTCCATTCGATTTATGATTGAATAAATTTCAGTGCCAGCTAAGAGAAGGCGATGAACGAGCAAAAGTCTTACTCTTGCCAGCATTTTTGGACATAAATCAGAGCAAACCAATGCGAGTAAATAGGAAAGAACCCATGGAACTAGAACCGATGAGGAAAATAGACGAAATAAGGAGGTTCTTAAACAAGGAGCTGAGGCTCACTAAGGATTCTATGGGAAATCCAGTGAATACTGTGGACCGATCAGGAAAAAATCATACAGCTACGTATCCGGAGTCATAGGGATGGCGTACAACACTTTCATAAATGAAGACATACGCGATTGCTTCTTTGATTACGAGCAAGCAGTGTTGCTGAGATTCTGGACGTCAAGAATTGCAACGATAAGAAGCGCTGCTAATCAGCAGACCAAGCTGGGACTAGTCTTGGAGGAAAAGGTGACTGCACCTTCAGTGCCAAAATCTGACAACCGAGTGGAGTTTGGGGGGATGGGATTCTCGGACGAATTGCTGAGAACGAGCTTAATGGTGGTATGGGAGCTAAGGAAGCCATCATGATGTCCTAGTCCCAACGCTGATTCGATCTTGCGAGCGACACAAGACGTTCAGGGGGAAATGAATGCAGACTGTAACTTGCGTGACCTGAACATCATCTATAATCTGATGACGACAGCCTCTAAAAGCAACGGAGAAGACAAAGTAGCTGGGTACCAGAGGACTGGGTCAAACCTGGTAGTTGTCTTGCAGAAGTCTATGGACTGGAAGGTCACATCTGTGGAGGTCTGGATTGCGTAAAGACCCTGTAGAAACAACACAAGCAATTGACGATATTGTTTGGGAATATTGTGATGAAAGCAAGAACGGAAACGGAATTGATTGCAGATTACCATGGAGGGACCGAGGTGAAGCTAGTGACTGGACTAGGGTTCTACAGCATGTTTGGTTCTTTAGAGTCACCATTGAATCTAGAACAAAAGCATGAGATGGTCACGACCATCAGTGTAGAAGTGTTTCCGGGAGTTTTGCAAACTGAACAAAAGTATATAGTAAAGTGGAGGGAAGCGATCGAGGCGGAAATGAACATCCGGCTTAGTGAGACTTAATGCGGATGGTCGGGTGCGCAATATTTTGTGGTATCGGCATTAGCTCCAATATGCAAAAGCAGATACCCAGTGCATTTTTTAGCGGTGGATGTGAAGAGTACGAGGACGATCGTGGATCAAGCCTTCTTAGTACCGAAATGCGTAAGACTAGCGAGAATGTCCGAAAAATCTTACGAGTTACTGTGCAAAATGTTCTCAGCACTTCCGGAGAGAACCAGAGAGGAATTAAAATCGAGAAGTACATGGGATACGTCAGTGGGAACTTCAGTGACTTTGAAAGACAAAAGCAGAAAGTATCAATAGTCACAGATTACAATGCAGTAGATGAGAACGATGAAGTCCATCGATTGATGATGGAAGTGGAACCACCACTGGAAGCTTCGGGAAAGCGTAATTGCAGGAGCATCATAACGACACATGGTGAGTTTCCCTGCAATTGCTTGCTAGAAACATGGTGGTACCCCGGGCGTAGTAATCTGGTGTTGATCTGGGACTCTGGAGAGCTGCTCTCCATGGGTTTACCGGATTCATCACAGCCCATAACGATAGTGATAGTAGGAGTTATGATGGCGATACGATGGCTGGAAGCGCATGTAAGACAGAACAATAGACAAGAAGCGCCGACGAAAGAACAGTTGCAGGAATTGGATTGTCTAAAAGATTTAGATCTTTTTGAGACAATGTGCAAAATGTTGAACACTCCGATGGAAGTGAAAAAAATATGGGTCAGAAGACGACTGATGCCTAAGTTTAGAGCCAACATGACTGCATGGTTGTACGAGCATGCCAAGAAATATTTGTCTAAGCACAGCAGAGTGTACAGTGCGTATCAGCGTGTTATTGGGGCAGGAGCTTTTAAGCGAGCTTTCGTTACTCATCGAAATGCAGTAAACACCGCAGTGAAGAGAACTTCTAGGACAAGCGAATATGACGGAAGGGAAAAAGAAGAGATATTGAAGGAAGACTGGGACAGAAACGTGACGTTGTGCCTCCACAACAGCTTCTGCCGAAACAGAGAAGCTAACTTTGATCCTCTACCTTGTTGTAAACAAAGATTAAAAGAGCAGAGGTGTTGGAGGACTGCTTCCAACAGCGTCAGAATAGCTACCGACGTGTTGCGAGACACAGAGACGGAAAGTGAGGATTCAATGACGCAGGAGGAGGAGATTGAACCTTGACGAACGGCCGAAAGAAACAAGATGCAAAGATAAAGAAAATTAGAAGAGTGTTTTAGAATATTCCAGCCTTCATAATTGCTTTTAATCAACTAAGAGGACCGATCACTTTGTGGTGACTTGAAAGGCTTGAGTAATCTCTTGAGGAGGGAGATTATTTAATTGTTCCTTCTAACCACCGAGTTCCTTAATTTTAATATTTAGGACTTATAACACCTTAAGTTTCAAAGGGAAGAAGTATTGTAGGATAATTTTAGCTTGTTGGTTGACAGGACTGTCCTGCAACCCAACACCGTTTGAACCTAGGAGAAAAATTTTTAAATGAGGGCATTGACATTTGAAATCAGAAAAAGATGTTTTATTTTAAGTCATATCCAGATTGATGAAAGAATTTGGAAGGCTATAATAGTTTGGTATGATGCCATTTATATTCTGCAGTGAGTTGATATGAGGCGGATAAAGGTGCTTTCATGCATTTTGTAAATTCTATTCGATGGCACTGTACCATTTTGACGAAAACTACAAGACTCAATGAGGACATTGACCGGGCTGTCCGGGGAGTATGTGACATTCGACAAGAATATACGAAAATGCAGTTTCGCAATCGAATTTTTATCGATCAGAAAAAGAACATCTAACCTGGAACATTGTTGGTTTTAATGGATTAGCGGCGTTATTTGAACGATTAGACAAATCGGTAAGGGTTAGTTTCAACAGACATGCTAAAATTTGAAATTTCGTTTTTGACGTGAACGACACGTAACCTTTTAATATTTCGCACACACTGAAACAGCAAATTAGAACAACAATATAATCGGAAACAACTACGAAAAAACAACAACATATTGAAATAGCGATTGGAGACCATTACGAGTTGTAACGATTGTGTTGTTAGAATCGTTACAACGTAGAACCGGAGAAAATGAAATGGTGTTGGGTTCGGCGTGTCCATTCTGCCTCGGGTGGAGAACTCAAACTGTTTTACATAAATTTTAGCGTCCTGGTCATGCCCTGAGTTGAATTTAATTATCATCTAGATTTATTTTCAGAGAATGAGAAGCTAGGAGTTTAGGGAAAGGGTTGATCCATCTTCGATGAAGTTGATGATTTTTATCTACTGAACAAAATTTATAGTTATATAATAAATAGTAGTAGCCCTGTTTTTATGAGTGACCTCGTGGTCTGGGGATACTGAGACATAGCCATGAGCTCACTATTTTTGCATATAATTAAGTTAATTTGAGCGTTCTGGTCGAAGCCGGAAAGCATTAACGTTTTGTCGACCCGATGTTAGGAAAACCACCACAAGAACTGGCTTTGGCAGAGACGGTGAAAAGCATGTAGAGCTGTGTTTAGACGCTGGCCAGTCGTTTTCCGTCGATAAGTACTTCCGGGTGAATGTTACATGGCTGATACGATCTTAACCAAATAAATTTGGAATAAGATTTTCCTGCAGTATCTGCTCGCAGGCCTGAATGTTTTCTGTGGTTTTAGGGCTAGTTCATGCTAAAAACTGTAATTTTTCTTGTACCCTTTTGGTGTATAATTAGTAGCAAAAAGTTCGGACAGACAGAATTAATTAAAATGAGCAATCAGTGCTTTTCGACGCTTTTTTGCATGCAAAATCTGAAGCCGAACAACCTTGAATTTTCTGTCAGACCAAATTCTAAATGCATGATCGTCGATTATCTGATGATTATCCTAGCCTATTTTTTAAATACTGCGATGAACATCCAGATTTTCATATAAACCAGTTCGCAAAATCAGTTAAAAAAAAACTAAATCTAGAGTTCATTTGAAAAAAATAGATTAGGCCGTCCTAAAAAAGAATCAGAGATGATCAAATTTTTCAAATTTTGGGAACTAATCGCAGAAAAACCTCAGCCATCCTGAGCAATATTTTTTCTTTTCGAAGGTTTACTATTCGACGCTTCGGATGCAATTGCCCGCCGTGGTTATAAGTTTTGAGCAAAACTCTGCTTTATGATCTTTCGACGTTATGTTTATTTCAATTTCCGTTGATGTCTAGACAGTTGCTCTTTTAAATTAATTCTGTCTGTCCGAACTTTTTGCAACTCTATAACAGGAGTACACCTTGTGTAGTGATGTTTTCGCGATCCTGCCAAGTTTTTTTTCAGATTTTTATTTTATTCTTCTAATTGATTTTCTAAGAAAGTCTTACATCCAGTCTCAGATCGTATGACAAAACCAAGTACTCTGGCCCCTTTCTTCATTTCAATTTCGGTATTTTTGAATACTTTTACCGCCTCATTGTATTTTTCATCTTTTACAGTGAGCTGACACTTCGATGCCTTTACATGATATCCGAAGTGTTTTCCGTGTTTGATAATGTTGTCAAGAACTCTTCGCAGGCTTTTCTACTGCTACAAGTGTGCGAAAACGTTCGTAATTTACATTTTCAATTCTTTTTATAAAAGCTCGAATCAATTGGTGATTTTCTTCATTGTTGTTTATCTACATTTCCAGATTAGTTGCTTAGATATCAAATCGTTCTGTGAAGATGTCATCGCTTGCTACGAAATGCCCATCCTTTTTCAATTTAAGAAGATATCCATTAGCAAAAATGACGTGTGAGAAGTATGAAAAAGCAGTCAATATTTCGAACTCAATTCAGCCAGACTGGAAAATGGTAGGTAGTTCTATCAGCATTGCACAAAGGAGGATGGATGCATTTCCGCGATATTTAGAAAGAGCTGGCATAACGCAAGACGATTTGAGTAGACTCAATGTTGTACACGTTAGCGGAACAAAAGGAAAAGGCTCAGTGTGCGCGTTTACGGAAAGTGTACTTAGAAGTTCAGGGTTTAAAACTGGTTTTTTGAGTTCTCCTCATTTGATTGATCTTGTCGAACGAGTGAGAATCAACGGGAAGCCTATTTCACAGGAGCAGTTCGCTGATTATTTTCTTGAGGTTTATAACAAGCTTTGGTCATTGAGACGTGACGATTTTGATATGCCTTTTTTCATCTTTATAGTGAATATTTTAGCCTTCAAAATCTTCCTTGACGAAAAAGTTGATGTCGCTGTCTTAGAAGTTGGCTTGGGCGGTACTTTTGACCCAACAAATATTGTCAGGAAACCCGCTGTATGCGGAGTAACAGCTCTGCATTTTGATCACCAAAGCATTCTAGGAGACAGTATTGAAGAAATCGCTTGGAATAAAGCAGGAATTTTCAAACCTGGTGTTCCAGCTTTTACCATAGAACAACCCATTCCTGGAGCGTTGAGTAAACTGAATCAATGCGCCGAGGAAAAGGGCGTCAAATTGCAAACAGTTAGAATGAATACGGAACTGGAGGACGTAGAGTTAGGATTAGAAGGTGGCCATCAGAAAACCAATGCATCATTGGCTGTCAGACTCAGCAATGGATGGGCCGAGCAAATGGGTTATGGAATGTTAGATCGCGTTAAGGTAACACGAGGCTTACAGAATGTGAGATGGCCTGGGCGCTGTGAAACAGTGAAAGTCGGTGACAATCTGACATTTTACCTAGACGCTGCGCATACAGCAGAAAGTTTGAAACTATGTCTAGAATGGTTCAAAACAAAATTGCAATTCGAACACGAGCAGAATGTGAAGAAAGTCTTAGTTTGTACTTTTACACTTGAAAGAAATGACGAGAATTTCCTACGAATTTTTAACAATGAGGTCTCTTTTGATCACGTGATTTTGACGACACCTATTTTGGATTCAGACAATTCGTTTAGGCATAATGATGCTAGGACTGTCGTATCTATGCACATAGATAGATGTCATCGAAATATGGCGATATGGAAGGAGCTAAACAACAGATCAGATGTATCAGTAGAAGAGCACATTGACGGTGCTATAAGCTCGCTGAGAAATATTTCCGACAATGCCCATATCTGTGTTTTGGTCACTGGGAGCCTTTATCTTGTAGGCGGTGTTCTGAAGTTGTTGGAGGATATAACTGACTCAAAGCAACAGTGTAACTAGAATGTTGACTAACAATGTGGACTACTAAAGGTTGCCTTCCACTACTACTACTACAAAAATCTATTACTGGACTGACTCAAACTTGAGCGATAACTGAATTGTATATATGTAAATATTTGTACATACTTGAGTGTTTAAAATACTGGAACAGATGTGACAAATTGTATATTTGTAGATATTTGTACATACTTGTAAATATTTGAATAATTGTTAAAAATTGCCTCGAAACTTTTGATCGCTATCTACCAATCCCAACTAGTGAGAAGTCATTTAGGAACTTTCATCATTGCATCGAATTGGTAACGGTTAATTTTACTGAAATATATGGCCTAGTTGTGGTTTTTTTGGATCTATCTATATATTTGATTGAGCGGAGAATGTATATTGCAGCATTCAAACCACTTTTGCTTGTTTAGGAGCTGTGATCTGTTTGTGTTTGTTTGAGGTATGGCAATTTTATTTGGCAACATGTTTAAGAAGTCGCTAAGCTATGTTGGTCTGCTAAATGGCCAAAACGTTGCAAGGGTTAAAATGTTTACGCATTTCGACGTTTTAAAGTCTGTTGTAGCGAATGCTCTTACATTTTTCCTATATTCGCAACGTTTCGCAATTTATTTAACTAAAATTTCTTTTCTCAACCCTATAAATGGGAGCCGCCGTCAGGGTACACTAAGGGGTTGCAAAGCTGGCGTCCAAGTATGACAGCTCAATTCCTTTTGGTTTTCGAGATATTCCTCGAAGTTCTCAATCTTGAAGTTCTCAATCCTATAGATGGATGCTGTCTGGTTACACTAAGGATTTTCAAAGCTGGCGTCCAAATATGACTGCTCAAATCTTTTAGTTTTAGTGATATGGCGTTTTTCTATGGTTTTTTTTAAATATTGTTTCCAAAAAATTAAATTAGTTATAAAATAAAGTAACCGAGCTTGAAGTTCTCATTCCTATAGTGGGGTGCTGTCAGGGTACACTCAGGATTTTCAAATCTGGCGTTCAAGTAGGACTGCTCAAATCCTTTGCCATTTCGAGATAATGCGTTTTTTTATTTTTTTTTTGACGAAAACTTAGATATAAAAAACTATGCGAAGTTCAAGTTCTCAACCCTGAGGCAGGCTCCTATCAGTTACCCATTGGCATTGCAAATTTGCCCTCTAATTTTGACTGATCAAATCTTTTTAGTTTCCGAGATATGGCGATTTTTTTAAAAATTTTTTCAAAAAAAAAGAACTTGGATATACAATAACGTAACCGATTTTGAAATTCTCAAACCTATAGTGAGGTACGGCCAGTTTACACTCAGGAGTTTGAAAATTTTCAACCCTTTGTTGATGTGCTGTCGGGGTATACTCAGGTTTTGCATTTCTTTCCTCCAAACTTGATTGCTCAATCTTTTTTCTGTTTCCGACACGGGGCTTTTTTTTGATTTTTTCAAAAGTTTTTTGTTAAAAAAAACGACTTGAAAATTATTAGAAATTCAAATTCTCAACCCTAAGGTGGTATCCTATCGATGACACATGTTCGTTGCAAATCAGCCCTCTGACATCTGAAATCTTTTTTGGTTTTCGAGATGTGCAAATTTTATGCTCTTTGTTTTTCGAGGTATGGCCTTTTGTATGAAAACGAAACCCTGAGAGATAAGCCCAGCTTATCTTCATGGATAAATCAAATTAGGGTCACTGAATATTGCTGTTTTAGTATATGTTATAGGGAAGCCCTTTTTGACGTACAACGATCTGTTTGAAGCAGCGTAGGTGCGAGTCAAGCGCTAGTATCTCATTAGCTGTCAGTTTTGTTTATCATCGTTATGGCCATGAAAGTTGCTCAGCAACAAAAATATTATTCGAAACAGTATGCACTGTTCAGTTTTTGCATCATCAAGTGTAGTATGACTCATCAAGGTCATCATACATCGAGAGCTAATTCGATAAGTATGGGAAAGTGGTCGGACTCTAGGGATTTGATTGATTGGGTTCGAGAATGAAGAAAGTAAAAAGGACTGTGATGACAGGGAAATAACAGGTGAGAAGTATTGTGTATCAGAATTAAAAGGTACTTGTTTGGGTGACGTCATTTAATGATGCAAGAGTGGATTCGGTGATTTCATTAGAGAGAACTTGATCACGTTGATCTTCTTCGAACTGCAGAGGGAGTAATGGGCGTCACCAAGTACTTTGGTGTACCTGGGAAGAAAGTTAGATCTAGCAGGTATGTAATTTTACTGATAGGAAGTTTCGACGAACGGGATACCACTGGATCCTCATAGCCTTTAGCGTATCGTGGGTATTTAGAGTTAGTTCTTCGTACTGTATAGATTCAAGGATAGCAATGAGGACGCTGCCACCCTTTGTTTCGGTTATTTAGGTTGAGTGGGTACAAAGGACTTAAGGAGGGATTACGACTTCGTTTTTCAACTTGATTTCCTGAATGTGGATTTAATTCTGGGCTAGGAAATCTGATTTCCCAGATAATCCATCAGTTATTAATATTGTACTAATAAAATAAAATTGTAGTAATATAAGCGTTTCTTTTTGTTAGTTAGGTATTGGTTACAGAAAGATTCGAGGAGTTTTTTGCATTAGTTAGCAGTGAGTTCTTTGAGAGTAGGTTTAGCTGGTTTAGGCGAAAGGTTCGATGCTGTGTTGTTGAGTGAAGAGTAGAGTGTACGTAGACAAGACAAGAAAAATGAAGGGAGAAAATCCCCCCGACATGTGGCTACTGAACTGTGGTGCGCTCCCTTTATGGATCCAAGCCTGTTATAGGTAGGCATTATTTAGCAAAAGCGGTGAATAGCAATTTACAAATGCTAGGAATCATGCCTCTAAGTTATTCAGGAAATCTCAACGAAAAATTGCCAAAACTTTGTGTCTGATAACCCAACCTTCACCCCTCAGAAAAAACAAGCCGTTGCGGATAGCAAACCCTAAAAAGCACTTGGTCCGGATGCGCTTTGTAATGTCCACCGCAACATCTTGGACATCTTGTACTTGATTACTTGACCTGTTTGCTGTCTGATAAAAATATCTCCCAATTATGGAAAAATTTTGGAAACGGGCCTACTTCACTGTGCCCCGTTGTCAAATACTTAGAGTGGCTCATCCATTCTGTTTTAACCAAGTATTTCCCAAATGCCAGACTGACACGGATTCCGCGCAGTTTACTCCACCAAAACCGATCTCTCCACCCTTAATTTTTAAAATCTGATGATTTTAAATGAAACCACCCTCTTTACGTAGTGCTCTCGTCACACTTGACCTTTCATAAGGCATTTTGGTATGTCATAGAACTTTAGTGAAACTCATTCATGACACATCGACAGTAAGAGGCATTGTTAGCTGGCTAAGCAATTATTGATGCGCCGGACCTGCCACCTCTTTTTTCAACAACCAAGTGTCCCCCATAAAATTGATCACTGTGGGGTTCCCCGGGACTCTTTTTTTATCACCGGCTCTTTCAAATTTTATGCCCAGGACGGTCCTCCCCCCCCCCCCTCACACCGCCAAAATCTTCGCCTCACCTAATACGCAGATAATTCCCACCCTTTCGCCCAAAGCCGCAACGTTGATGAAGCATCGCGTTCACTAAATGGTTATCTGCACCACCTTTTTATTCTTTTTCACCTCCCGTAAGCCAGCATTGCGTCCTTTGAAGGTCCAAATACCTTCCTCTTGCATTACAACAAGAATTGAACAAAACTCCGAATGTTTTTTCAATCAACGAGCCTCTTCCTCTTAATAAAAGTCTAAATAGTTTTTTAGGAGTCACTGCAAGAGATCTGCGCACAAGAATCGTCGCTGGATAGGATTCCCGAGAGCGCTAACAAGTTTATTATGGGGTCAGTCAAAAGAAACTCTTCTTTTAACTTAAAAAGCCTTAATTTGTCCTTCTTCAGATTATGTCTCTCCGGCCTTGGCGCAAGCCGCCAGCGAAACTTCCATAATTCACTTGCGGACTACCCAAAAGCAAACTCTCCATGTAATAATTGGCTCAACTCTTATGAGCTCCACTGCCTACCTGCACAGTAAATTGAGATCCTGAATGTTTCAAACCACCGTCCCTTTTTACTCCTCAGTTTTCAATCTCCACAAACCGTTCGCGTCACCCAAATCCTTGTTATCACTCGTACCCTGTCAATCTAGTTTAAATACTTTTAAAGACGACACAGACTGCTTTTTTGATCAAACAACACCTGTTACTAAACCTTAACCACTCAGAAGAAGTTTCAATTTTCTTTTTCAGCCATCAGAATACTTTCTAACACAAAACCACGCTAACCTCGTTACCAAGTTCCTAGCAGCAATATTTTCCTAAAATCTCACGTGTAATCCAAGCAGACCCTTTTGTACAGTCCCTTATCAGAACCACCCTATTTTCGGCCTGGTTACAGTCGTTTTTTAAACACGTACCTCCCCCGCTTAGACAATCAATTTTGTCCAATTTGACCAAACTGTCTTTTGTCGCCCATTTTTTTTGCCTTTTTTTTAAATGCGCCAGAAACCACCCTTTTACTTACGCATACCTGTGGTTAAAGCCGACGGAAGTGGCGAAGTTTTTAGCGTGGAGACGGATGAGCACAGGACGCCCAAGATGGGCAACAGAAGGAAAGGACAACTTACATCATCGTAATCTCAATCGTCCTCATTTTTTTATCCTTAGTTATGTACATAAAAGTCGCTCATCATCCAAAAATTTCATTCAAAATTATGTATTGTTCATCATGCGTAGTATAACAAACTATTTTCCTGTAACTTCATCTTAATCTCAATTAAAATTGAATTTTTAACACACAACAATTGCTCATCCTTAAAAACGAATGCCTTCGAGTTTTGCGTGATCATCTGTAGCAGGATTTTTGAAGATTGTGTTACATTGTCTTAAATTACAGTTTTAGGTTTTTTTAAACATAAAGTTTGGCAAGATGTTGATCATAAAAAATTTTGCTGAAAAAAAAAGGAACCCCTCGATTTTTGCCGCAAATGCTGTATAAAATATCAAGGTCTTGTGCCATTCTAATTATTTTCAGTACTGTTTATTTTTTACCTTTATTATGAACATGAAAACTGCTCAGCATCGAAAACTTGGAGTAAAAATCATCTTTCATGTTTTGCCTTATAATATATAGTATGACTCATCAAGGTCATGTTAAATCATCTCTTATTTCATTACTTTTTTTTTAACATATGCCTTAGCTCAAAAGATGCTCAGCATCAAATTTTTTTTTTTTGAAAAAGACG